ATTAAACACAAACATTGATTTGTCACAGTCCTGGAGACGAGGACACTCAGAACCGAGGTGTCAGCAAATTAGCTGTGTGGAGAGAGCCCGCTTCCAGGTTCACAGACAGCAAGTCTTCATGGTGTCCTCCCTGGGGCGGTGGGGAGGGCCTGTCTTTTATGGGACACTAGTCCTATTCGTCCTCATGACCTAATCACCTCCCCAAGGCCCCACCAAATATCACATTGGAGATTAGTTTTCAACATATGAATTTGCGGGAGAGAGGACCGCAAATATTCAGTCTATCGCCAAGGCAGTATTTTAATGCTTGAAAGCCCCTGGGAAAAAGTAATTTCTGGGTCATGGTTACAGCTTCCCTGACAGCTACAGGAGCCTATCCCAGAGGTCAGGGGACAAAGCTTAAGTGATTCCTGGGAGGTCAGGGATTAGCGTTGTGTTTCTGGTGAGACTGGGAGGCAGGGTCAGTGCTGCACGGTTGGCAGAAAGAAGTTCAGGGGAGGGCCTCCCTGGTGATACAACCTATGAAGCTGTCCGCAGCCTCTGCAGCAAGAGTTCAATCCCTGGCTGGCTAGGGAGCAACCCACATGGCGCAATAGACCTCTCCTGTCTCGCCCACTGCTTCCCTCAGCAGTGTGTTTCAGTCAGTCTGCCTGTTCTGTTCCCCACTCTGTCTCTGGTGAATCCTCTCACACCCCACCCCACACCTCTGGCTTGTACCCCAGTTCTTGTATGCATACATAAATAAATCTTTAAAAAAAATTACTTAGAAAATAATGTGTTTGAAGTTTCACATGCCTGAAAATGTCATTATTCTATCCTTCTACTTAACTGGTAATTTGACTTTGTATACAATCCTAGGTTGGGAATTTTTGGTAAGAATTCTTATGCACTTCTCTGTTGTCTTTATTGTAGCTTCCAATGTTGATGTTGAGAAGCCTAAAGATATTTTAATTCTTGATTCTTTGTGTGTAACTGATCTCCTAGATCTTGCAGAATCTTCTTCTGTCCTTGGTGTTCCAAAGTTTCCCAAATAATATGCTTTGGAATATATCTATTTTCAGCCATTTTTGGGAACTTTGCATCTGGACATTCATATCCTTCAGTTCTAGAAAATTCTGAATTTTATTTCTTTTCCTCTTTCTGTCTGTGGTTTCAGACCTCAAATCATTTGAACATTTACCTTCTAAATTAGTCATATTTTTTTCTCTATTTTTCCATTTTTGCCTTTAGCTCCATTTTCTGAGTTTATCAACTTTAATTCCTAACTCTTTTATTGAATTTTAATTTCTGTTACCATGCTTCTTAACTTCTAAGAGCTGTTTTTGTTCTCGAGATGCTTAATAAAATAGCATCCTGTTTTTTATTTTATGGTGACATCTAACTTCTCCAAGGATATAGTTCTTAAAAAACAATAATGGTTTTCTTTTTGTACCAGATGGTGTTTTCTCCACAGCTTTTTTCCCATTTGTTTTGTTCCTTGATTTTCATGATAAAGGCATCCCTCAGCTACCTATCCACAATCCTCAACTGTCTGCCTGCATTTAAGAAAGGGAAACTGGAGCATGGATTAGAAACTTCCTGTCAGTGGGGTGGGGGTGGCTATGCCTCACTGAGTGATCTGACAGGATCATTTGCTGGGAAACAATTTCAGCTTTGGTCAGAACTGGTTTTACCATTCCTGGGCTCCCAGTGCTTCATGGCATCCAAAATATTTATATCCTCTCTCACCTTGCAAAAGACCACATGCTTTCCATCCAACCAGTCTTGGCAGCGTTGGTGAAAATCTGGGAAGAAAAGGTTATTTCAACAAAGATACGAAGCTGAGTCTAAATCTGGTTGGGGAGAAGGAACAGAGGATGATGGAAACTGTCACAATAGTTCTATCTACCAGACCCTTGAGGGTCCCACACGGGGCGGCAGACCTCTCCTGTCTCTCCTGCTGCTCCCCTCAGCAGTGTGTTTTGTCAGTCTGTCTGTTCTGTTCCCTGCTCTGTCTCTGGTGAATCCTCTCACCCTCCCACAAACCTGGCCTGTACCCCGGTTCTTGTATAAATAAATTAAAAAACAAATCATCTGTGGAGAAAATATAATTCTCCTCTCCAGCCCCCATCATAAATATGTAGTAAGCATTATTCTCAAGTTCTAATGTACTGAGATTTTCTCCAGGATTTAGACTACTGTAATGCATTTTGGATGCAGATTCTAAATCTTTTTAATCTTTAGCACTATGAATTTTTTTTACAATGTGCCATGAGTATTTAATAGTTCTTTAATCTATTTCCTCTGTAATGTAGCAGTCAGTAGCTAAAAACCAGTAAGCTTCCAATTGAGGCTTAAAATTTGCAAGTTTCAGAATCTCACATTCCATTTCCCATTTTTACTTAAAAAGAGACAGTAATTCTCTAATTCATATAAAAACACAATCCTGGCACCAGAATATTTGGTTCAAAACCTGAATTACATTTTCTAGCTATAAAACTTTGAGGTTACTTAATTAGCATTGTAACAGGGTGGTCCCCAGGAAAGGGGGAGGTTCCCTGCCCCACCCAAGGGAGGGTGGAGCTGAGCAGGAAGAGGAGAAGCTGCAGAAGAGACTGAGGAAGGAAGCAGGATGGAGCCAGGAGACCTGGAGGAGGCGCATGGAGCCGAGAGACACGTGAAGAAACTGCGCTTGTCTTTTGGTCGTGGACTGGGTGACACAGATGTGGGTGAGACCCGTGGGAGGTGACAATGGCAGCTTTTTTTTTTTTTTTTAAAGATTTATTTATTTATGCACACAAGAACTGGGGTACAGGCCAGAAGTGTGGGAGGTGAGAGGATTCACCAGAGACAGAATGGGGAACAGAACAGGCAGATTAACTGAAATACACTGTTGAGGGGAGCAGTAGGGAGACAGGAGAGGTCTGCGGCGCCATGTGAGTAGCTCCCTGCCCGGGGATCGAACTCATGCTGCAGTGGCTGCGGATAGCTTCAAAGGTTGTCTCAACCCCTGCGCCACCAGGGAGGCCCTCTGCCAGCTCTCGTGTAGAACCAGTTCTCATCGTAGGGTGCGAGCTCTTTATGCTTGGCCAGCTTGACAGTGTCCACCCATTCAGGGACTTTCAGCTTCCCGGACTTTTTGAGGAAGGCTGCCAGAGCTCTGACGAACTCCTGCTGGTTCACGTCTTTTACAGTAACTCCAGGCATCGTGCGGCCTCCGCGCTGCCAGCCAGGGAAAAAAAGACAATGGCAGCTTTTATCTTGATGTTGATTTTGCTCTTTTCCTTCCGGGCTTGTCTGGTTGTTTCTGACCCTTTTCTGTGGGTCCCCACTGGAAGATGCTTTAGACTTGTGGCAGGCTTTGGGGCCTTGCTCTGGGCCAATCCCATATGGACTTTTACCCACGAGGGGACGTGTCACTTTGGGTGCTTCATTTAGAAACTAGACTCTTTGCCTTACCTGTATTGTTTCCTAGTTTTATTAAAGTTCCTTCCCCTTAAAGTCTCCTATGTTTTGTGTTGATGCGGCGGATGGCAGAACCCATGTAGAATAGGCAGTTTGCGGGTTTGGGCTGCCCCTCTCCCTGTCCTATAACAGCATCAGTTATAAGCCTGGGAATAGCAGTACTGTAACAGGGTGGTCCCCAGGAAGGGGGAAGTTCATTCCCCACCCAAGGGAGGGTGGAGCTGAGCAGGAAGAGAAGAAGCTGCAGGAAGAGACTGAGGAAGGAAGCAAGATGGAGCAAGGAGACCTGGAGGAGTCGCATGGAGCCTAGAGACACGTGAAGAAACTGCGCTTGTCTTTTGGTCGTGGACTGGGTGACACAGATGTGGGTGAGACCCGTGGGGAGGTGACCATGGCAGCTTTTATCTTTGATGTTGATTTTTGCTCTTTCTTCCGGTCTTGTCTGGTTGTTTGTGACCCTTTTCTGTGGGTCCCCACTGGAAGATGCTTTAGACTTATAGCAGGCTTTGGGGCCTTGTTCTGGCCAATCCCATTTGGATGGACTTTTACCCACGAGGGGACGGGTACTTTGGCGTGCTTCATTTAGAAACTAGACTCTTTGCCTTCCTGTATTGTTTCCTAGTTTTATTAAGTCCTTCCCATTAAAGTCTCCTATGTTTTGTGTTGATGCGGCGGGATGCAGAACCCATGTAGAATAGGCAGGTTTGCGGGATTTGGGCTGACCCTCTCCCTGCCCTATAACAGTACCTGAAGTGCTTAAAACAGTGCTCAGCACAGGCTTTATGTAACTGTTACTATGATGATATGAACCTATATTTGAGCCACCATATTTTTAAAAATTTATTTATGCATACAAGAATTGGGGTATAAGCCAGAGGTGCCAGGGCGAGGATTCACCAGAGGGTGGGGAGCAGAACAGGCAGATCACTGAAATACATTGCTAAGGGGGCAGCGGGCAAGACAGGAAGGTCTGCTGCCACCACATTGGGCTAGTCCTGAGCCACTTTATTTCTGATGTCTTGTTTGGTGATCAAGAATTTGTTTCGAGGCCTCCCCGGTGCACAGCGGTTGAGCGCTGGGATGCCGAAGCTGCCCGCAGCCTCTGCAGCGCCGGTTCGATCCCCGGCTGCTCCTGGCCACCGGAGGAGGGTCCCACATGGCGCGCAGACCTCTCCTGCCGCCGCTGCTCCCTCAGCAGTGTACTTCAGTCCTTCTTGCCTACTCTGCTCCCCACTCTGGCTCTGGTGAATTCTCTCACCCTCCGCGCTTCTGACTGTACCCAGTGCTTGTATAATAAATAAATAAATCTTTTAAAAAAAAAAAAAAAAAAAAAAAAAGATTTTGTTTCGAACTACTTCTCTTTATTTGAAAAAATATATAAATCAAAAATATCCAAGTTATTATACATGTTGAAAACTTTCAATAATGAGCTCTTGGATATAAAGTAAGGTTCCGTGGCTGAACTTTGATTCTAAAATATTTAAAGTCATACTTATTTGAAAGACTGAAGTTTTTTTAATAGTAAAAAAAAAAAAAAAAAAAAAAACACCATCAGGTTGAAATGTTTTTATTTGGTAAACATACACACAGAATTCATAACAAACAGTTCATATTCTACAGTGTCTAAACATTCAGTACTGATGATGTCCACAGATGATGTCTGTCCTAGCTCAAGCTCCTGACCAGTAGAGATCTAGCTCGCCTTCCTCTACCAAAAGAACCTGTCTCTCAGAAGTCCTGACGGATATTTTCTTTGTTTGCCTCTCCGTGTTGCTGCTTCATTTGAAAGACTTCATTTTCTAATTGCACAATCGTCCTTTCAATCTCATAATTCTTACTGACCAGGGATACCCAACTACAAAGGAAAGAAAAGAACGATTACTCAGGGTAAAATTCTCACAGAACATTTTATTTGTGTTTTCACCTAGGATGTTTTCACACTAACCTCCACTAAACTTTACATTTAAAAAAAAAAAAAAAATGAGGCACATTTTGGGGAAAGTGAATAAAGCACACACTGGATCTCTCTGATTCTTTCTTTTCTTTTCTTTTTTTTTTTTTAATAGAGGCATGCTTTATTTATTTAGTTTGTTTGTTTGTTTGTTTATACATGCACTGTGGTACAGTCAGAAGCGCGGGAGGGTGAGAGAATTCACCAGAGCCAGAGGGGGAGCAGAGCAGGCAGAAGGACCGAAGTACACTGCTGGGGGGAGCAGCGGGCGGCAGGAGAGGACTGCGCGCCATGCGGGACCCTCCTTGGTGGCCGGGGAGCAGCCGGGGATCGAACCGGCGCCGCAGAGGCCGCGGGCAGCTTCGCAACCCAGCGCTCAACCACTGCGCCACCGGGGAGGCCCTCTGATTATTTCTTATAATTGCAGGTGAATTTACAATTCTTGCAAAATAAAAAACCTAGTAAAAAGATCAAACTATAAAGAACTGAAGAGAAATGAAGATAGTATTTAACTGAATTAACAAAAAGGATAAAGGAAACAGTTAATGAAAAATGAAGAAATTTCTAATACTGATGAAAAAAATTCCAGATTCGGGCCTCTCCGGTGGTGCAGCAGTTGAGCGCTGGGTTGTGAAGCTGCCCGCGGCCTCTGCAGCGCCAGTTCGATCCCCAGCCGCTCCCCGGCCACCAAAGGAGGGTCCCACATGGCGCCCAGACCTCTCCTGCCGCCCGCTGCTCCCCTCAGCAGTGTACTTCGGTCCTTCTGCCTGCTCTGCTCCCCTTCTGGCTCTGGTGAATTCTCTCACCCTCCCGCGCTTCTGACTGTACCCAGTGCATGTATAAACAAAAAACAAACAAACAAACCAGCAAACAAATAAATAAAGCATGCCTCTATTAAAAAAAAAAAAAAAAAATTCCAGATTCAAGAAGCTACTCCCTTTCCCCAGAAAATCTCTAGGACAAATGAGAAGAAACACACATGCATATTTAGAAGATCCTATTAGCCCAAGAAAAATATAAAAAGATGCCTAACCGATCAATAATATGGGATACATGGAGGAAGAGGGAAAGCCAAAAAAAGGGAAAAAATGATGCAAAATTCATGCTGATATTTAGGAACATGTACCAACTTAGTTTTGTAAATGAAGAACATTTTTAAAACAAAATATATAAACAGGTAGAATTAAGACAAATTTTGAGAAAATATGGAAATCTTGCAAGTCAAAAATTTTTCTCCTTTTATAAGAATATATAATTCTATTCAGAGCAAAAAAATAAGACCAGTATCCTTTATCGGTGTTTTTTTTTTTTTGTTATAATTCTCATGGCATTCTTTTTTTTTTTTAATTTTTTTTTTAATAGAGGCATGTTTTTATTTATTTATTTGTTTGTTTTGTTTATACATGCACTGGGTACAGTCAGAAGCGCGGGAGGGTGAGAGAATTCACCAGAGCCAGAGCGGGGAGCAGAGCAGGCAGAAGGACCGAAGTACACTGCTGAGGGGAGCAGCGGGCGGCAGGAGAGGTCTGTGGCCATGCGGGACCCTCCTCCGGTGGCCAGGGAGCAGCCAGGGATCAAACTGGCGCCGCAGAGGCCGCGGGCGGCTTCACAACCCAGCGCTCAACCGCTGCGCCACCGGGAAGGCCCTCTCATGGCATTCTAAGATGACACTTCAGACAGAGGCAGGGAGGTCAAGCGCAGGACGCAGAACACAGGACCTCTGTGCACTCTGTTTAAGTAGCTTTGAATCATATTCCTGAATTTTGACTTTAAAGTGTATTTAGCAATTTGAAAAATGATGGAATTGTAGAGACTCACTTTGACTCCATCTCTCTTAATTTAGATCCAGCTGTGAGTTGCATGTTCTTTCGCTGCCAGTTTAAATCTTGAATGTGTTTCCTGGGGAAATTAAAAATTATTAATATAACCCAACTACATTAACATAAAATCACAGAAAAATGTATAAACAATACAGTATCTTTAATTCCTTGAGAAGAACAGATATATACAGACACTAATTCCAGGAACTTCCCCCTAATATTTTTTCAATTACAAATTAAAACATGCTCATTGTGAAAAATTAAACACAGACACATAAATAATTGAAAGTTTCTCCCCCTGTGATAACCACTGTTCAGTTTTTGGTGGGTATCCTTCTAGAATACATGTATATGTACATGTAGAAAATGTATTTTTTTAAATTTTCAACATAAATCATATTATAAATGTCATTCTGCAACTTCTCCTCCTGAAAGGGTCTTTTCAATCTATAGCCTTGCAAATTATAAATAAAATCATCAACTCAAAATATTCTATGTTTTACATTGTTTACTACGGTATTATTTACAATAGCCATGACATGGAAAAAAAATCTTTTTTTTTTTTTTTTTTTTTAAGATTTTATTTATTTATACAAGCACTGGGTACAGGTACAGTCAGAAGCGCGGGAGGGTGAGAGAATTCACCAGAGCCAGAGTGGGAAACAGAACAGGCAGACGGACGAAATACACTGCTGAGGGAGCAGTGGGCGCAGCAGAGGTGTGCACGCCATGTGGAACCCTCGCCGGTAGCCGGGGATCGAACTGGCACTGCAGAGGCTGCGGGCAGCTTCACAACCCAGCGCTCAACCGCTGCGCCACCAGGGGAGGCCCGACATGGAAAAAATCTTAATGTCCACTGACGGCTGACTGGATTAAAAAGGTGTGGCATACCCATGCCATGGGATTCTATTCAGCCAGAGAAAGATGAAATGTTGCTATTTACAGCAATATGAAAGGAGTTCAAGGGAATAATGTGCACTAAAGCAAATGAGAATGACAAATACTGGACACTTACATAGCAGATGACCTGACACAGCAAAATACTGATAAAAATTAGTGGATGCAGAAAGGATCAAAAGTGTTAAGGACAGTGGCAGGAAGAAAACCAAATTAAATAACAAAAAATTCTCTTTTTTTTTAAAAGATTTATTTATTTATTTATACAAGCACTGGGTACAGTCAGAAGCATGGGAGGGTGAGAGAATTCACCAGAGCCAGAACAGGCAGAAGGACCGAAGTACACTGCTGAGGGGAGCAGCGGGCACGGCAGGTGAGGTCTGCACACCATGTGGAACACTCACTGGCAGCCGAGGATCGAACCGGAGCTGCAGAGGCTGCAGGCAGATTCACAGCCCAGTGCTCAACCGCTGTGCCACCGGGGAGGCCCTAAAAAATTCTTAATGCTGGAGAAAAAACAAAAGACCTGGTAGAGAGGTTTTCAGTCCCCAGGTCTACCGCTGCACTCAGGCAGGGTAAACATCAGTCAGATGCTGGGCAGAATGGACCATCGATTTTTCACTATTTGTCACTATAGTCCATTTGTTTCTTTTTCTTCTTACCTCAGTTATTAATGATTTGTTTAAACTTTATTCTAAAATAGGAGGGAAAAAAAACTTACCTTAACTTCTGGAGCTCTTTCTGTGCATGTTCAATCATATGAACTAGATTTCTAAGGAAGGAAATGAGGAAAATCAGATTAATGTACATTAAAATTTAATAGTACCAACTAAAATGATCTGGTCTATACAAGGGTCAAGATTTTCTGCTAAAAATATTTAATATTTACTGAGTTTTCTGTGGCAAACAATGACACTCTATAAATATTGGCTAATTCACAAGAATTCCCTGAGGTAGGTATCATCCCCATTAACATGAGAAAACAAAGTCTAGAAAGCTTAAGTCACTTGGTTAAGGAACATGAGTAAGTATCAGAGCTGAATTCTATTTCAGGTCTTCTAAATTCTCAAGTCCAAGCAGTTTACTGACATTCTGATTTTATATACTTATGTCACTTCATAAACTATCATTTAAAAAAAAGATGCGGGCCTCCCCTGGTGGCGCAGGTGGTTGAACACAGCTCTGTGAAGCTGTACGCAGCCTCTGAAGCACCGGTTTGATCCCGGCTGGCAGGCGAGAATCCCACATGGCACAGTAGACCTCTCCTGACTCGCCCACTGCGCCCCTCAGCAGTGTATTTCGTCAGTCTGCCTGTTCTGTTCCTCACTCTGTCTCTGGTGAATCCTCTGACCCTCCCACGAATCTGGCCTGTACCCCGGTTCTTATATAAATAAATGAATAAATCTTTGAAAAAAAAAAAAAGATGTATTTATTTATGCATACAAAGCTGGGGTGTAGGTCAGAGGTGCAGGGAGATGAGAGGATTCACCAGAAACAGAGTGGGGAGCAGAACAGGCAGATCCACCAAAATACACTGCTGAAGGGAGCAGTGGGCAATACAGTAGAGTTCTGCTTCACCATGTCAGTCAGCTCCTTTGCTGGGGGTCAAATTCATGCTGTAGTAGCTGCGGATTGCTATATAGTACTGACGCTTAACCCCTTGTGCCACCAGGTAGGCCCATAAACTATCACTCCTTTTCATAGAGAAGATGGAAGATATCTGATATGAGTATACCCATTCAAATTTCTTTTTACCCCTGTTTCTGTATCTACATTTACTGTATTCTCCCCTTCTGTCTATTGCTAAGTGGAGAGAAAGAGCAAAAACAAAAACTTTTGTGGAACACTTGAGAGATTCAGTCTAGTACAATTTGGCTCTAAGACTAATCACATAAAGTTACAAGTGATAATTACCATTAGAGAAATGATTCAAGGGTAGATTTCAGTCCCTGTATTTACTTTTTTTTTTTTTTTAAGTATTATATAATTAATGTGATAGTTTTAGGTCCCCTTAATACTCTTTAAATTTTGAGTTCAGTTTCAAAGTAGCAGCTTTTCATACAGGCTGTAGTTCTAGCACATGATCTCAAGTCAAAGTGTAGTAATACTATTTTTATTCCACTTTCTGGGTCCTAAATCTCACATTTAAAAAAAATACCAAAGGTGTAAAGGAATGGGTTTAAAAAAAAGAAAAATGGCTTCTTACTCATTATATACTTTCCAGGCATTGCATCCATGCTGTGACATCAGTTCCAGATTCTCAATTCGAACTGCTTGATGTTCTAACTGGGCCATAGAATTGTTTACACATTCCTGCCAAGCAGTAATATCATTTTTCTGTCCCGAGGAAGGGGCTGGAAGTTCATACCTGTAATTAAATAACAATAAATTAAAACGGCATATTCTCAAAACCTCCCTCCTCCCAACAGAATGCCTTAGAGGTCTATGCACACTGTATAAACTACAGAAGACTGAAGAAGCAGATCTTGCAATAGAAAACTATTTATTCTATGAACAATAAACTCACATGAGCATCAACATATACAGGAACAAAAAAATGATTACAACAGATTCATGTAAAGGACTGTTTTGTGAGCCCATTAAGATGCTTGTAATTTATTAAGGGAAAAAACTGAATACAAGACACTATCATTTTGTTAACACACACCTACATCCATCACCCATCAGTGCTTCCAGGCATCTACCCACACAGCCACACTCCTCTAGAGAAAAAAAGGGAAATAATAATTCTTTGCATTTGGGGGCCTCCCTGGTAGTGCAAGGGGTTAAGACACAACCTATGAAGCTATCTGTAGCCTCTGCAGCCCAACTTCGATCCCTGGCCTGCCAGGGAGCAACCCACATGGTGCATTAGACCTCTCTGGACTCACCTGCTGCTCCCCTCAGCAGTGTATTTCAGTCAATCTGCCTGTTCTGTTCCCTGCTGTCTCTGGTGAATCCTCTCACCTCCCACACCTCTGGCCTGTACCCCAGTTCTTATATGCATAAATAAATCTTTAAAAAAAATTATTTGCATTTGGACCACTCTAATTCCTTTTTTCACATTACAGAGTCCGTCAGCACTGCCAATATAGCCACAAACACACTCATCATAAATCTCAGCTCATTATCAGTGAGCTACAACAAACTACTTCTAATTTCCACTTTAGTATTTTACTAGCTACTGTTAAAACTCCAAGCTATACCTATGAATAAAAGAAGGATATACAATTAGGATCAGGAAATTGATCAAACTTCAGTAAAAATCTTTCCCCACTATGATCCTGTATACAGATACACACAGCTAAACAAAAGTGTCACAAAGCAGTGATTTGGGCCCAGCTGAATCCAGAAATAGGACTTACCGTTTCATACTGAGCAATTCAATTGGTTGTCGAGCAGCCAGTCTTTCAAATTCATTTCTCATTATGTCAGTCTGATGTATAAATGAGAAAGAATTACTTCCAATCTCTTATCAACAAACTAAAATTAACTGTCACCAAACAGAGAAGAAATATAACCTACTTACATATCCAAATTTTATACTACCCATCATAATGGGTTATATTCTTATCTCTGAGTCTTTTCCGGGTTAAAAGCTCTCTGCGATCTGGAGAAGAGGCTTGCATACACCCTGTCTTCATTTGTAAAGGGGCCCATAGAGGAAAGGATTAATCCCAGACCAGTGGTTCTCAGTCCCAGCAGCACATTACAATCAGGGGAAAATAACTCCAATCCCAGTGACATCTCATCCCTCTCCCTCACTCCATTCTCAGGTGGAGAATGACAGGATTATGACTTTTAACTCACTTCATAAAGTGAAGCTTAGTGTTGAGAACCACAGATCTAAATATTCATGGGCAGGGGGTGAGGAGAGGAAAGGACTTGGACATAAAGTAATGTGCTTTAGGGCTATGAGCATAAACCTATACATTCTTTTTGGTTCTTGCTACATTTTCACAATTTGCTTTTTGCAAAGACTGGAGAAAAAAGGGACAAAAAGAACTGGTTCTATCTGCTCTAACAATTTTACTAATTAAAAAAACCCTAAGACCTCCCCTGGTAGCACAGGCAGTTGAGCGCAGCGCTGGGAAGCTGCCCGCAGCCTCTGCAGTGCTGTTCAATCCTGGCTGGTCAGCGAGGGTCCCACATGGCGCGGCAGACCTCTCCTGTCGCGCCAGCTGCTCCCCTCAGCAGTGTGATTCGTCAGTCTGCCTGTTCTGTTCGCTGCTCTGTTTCTGGTGAATCTTCTCACCCTCCCGCGAATCTGGCCTGTACCCCGGTTCTTATATAAATAAATAAATTCTAATAAATAAATAAAAATTTAAAAAAACCCTAACTTTCTTTAAGTCTAATATTTTGGTCAATAGCCTATTCTATTTATCTTCTCCACCTTTTCTATCCTGCGTATAAAAAACTGCTAAGAGAAATATTCATTAAAATATCTCAGCTATTCCATATAATTTCTGGGAGGACTATGACTATCTTATTAGACTAGATGAGAAACCATAAATACGCATGTAGTCTTCTTGAGCCATGTAACATTAGAGCCCTTATAATTTACATGGCCAATAACTGAGAGTTCTGAAATTTTAACTCAACTCTTACCAAGGCTCACAAAGCTAAATTAAGACCATGGAGCAGGTCTCAGCTTAGCTTAGGTAGTCCTTCTTCAATTGGCTATCTAAAGTAATC